GATGTGGATGGATGTATTTATTGCAAACGGGTCATCGTTTATGTAGGTATTTGTAGATAGAAGCTATTAAAAACACATTGTGACGAATCTCTTTAAAACACATTGTGCCAGCCTGTATGGATGCGAGCTTTGGGTAGCGTATCGTGTTCAGAAAGCAGCTCGCGAGCTGTGCGTTGCGTACCACAACTGCTTGAAAAGGCTTCTCAAGGTTCCGAAGTGGGCACGTAATCACGAACTCTGCCATGACCTTGGAATGTTGACTTGTCCAATGCAAATAGCATATAGACAGATGTTATTTTGGCGCCGCCTTTCGCTCTCGCCCAACACTCTGGTTGCTGCCGTGTTGGCAAGTCCAGCTGGCCAAACGGGGCTGACGGCCCAAACGCACTTGCGACTGCGTCAGCAGTATGAACTGAATGATTTGGATTTGTCCGCCATCTCCCCTTCTGAGCTAAATAATGTGTTCGTTGCGCGCATCGAAAATGTTGTACGACAGAGGGGGAATGATGGTGCCGCAGATCGGTTTGTGTACCAGTTGTTCTAGGGATCTTGCTGTTTTGCATTAGTTATTTTTTGTGTATATTGATGAATGATGTGTAATGTATGTGTGCGGTTTGTGTATTATATGTACCGACTTCGGTATGCAATAAACATTATTATTATTATTATTATTATTATTAGTTGGCCCTCAAACTCTGTTGACCGCACCAGTGCAGAGGCATGGCAGTCTTGAATTAATGTCCCTTGACATGCAGCTTGGCCTCTTTGCCCAAGACCTGGCAGCGTTAAAGGGACCCTCCCACCTTCAAAAAAGTTAATGAATTGGCATGAAAGTGATGTCGCTCGGTTCAGAAAGAGCAAAAACGAATATCTACCAAATTTCATCGAAAAATATTCACCGGTTTTCAAGATATTAGACTTTTACTTTTGTTTACTTTTTGGGATCTCCGCTGTTCCTAGCGACTTTATTTGAAAGTGCGGCATTTGTTGCGCGCAAAGCAGCATATGCCACCGCGTGCTACCAAACGTTTTAGTAAAAGATTTAAAATCGTTAGATCTCCGCTGACGTCACAAATTCTAAGGGGGCATACCAATGCATTAGCCCCTTAGAATCCGAAAACTGCAAGTTTGAAATTCGATATCTCCGAATTAAAGCATTTTTCGATGTTGTGAGTGCCCAAACCGGTATGTTCAGGCCATGGCCATCAATTTGGCTATCTCAACTCAAATCTAATGTTAAGGTGGGAGGGTCCCTTTAAAACAACTCAGTACCCGCAATTTACCTAGATAAACCGAAACGCTTTTTCAACCCCGTCGACAACGCCAACTGCTGCACACAGGGCTGCGGAGTCGGAGTCGGAGTCGGAGTCGGAGTCGGAGTCGGAGTCGGTCGGAGTCGACAGTTGTGACCGGAGTCGGAGTCTGAGTCGGAGTCAATTTTAGAAACCCGAGCCGGAGTCGGAGTCGGAGTCGGAGTCACCGAAAATCTGTCGACTCCGCAGCCCTGCTAGTTCTGCGGAGTCGGGAGTTGGAGTCGGTCGGAGTCGACAATTCTGCCCGGAGTCGGAGTCGGAGCTGGTTTTTGAAAGCCGGAGTCGGAGTCGGAGTCGGAGTCGGAGTCGCCGAAAATCCATCGACTCCGCAGCCCTGGCGCCTGCACAAAGCTTTGGCTTCAAATGGCATGGATCGCGAATTTAGAAATGTTTAGTGCTGACTGAGCCCTTCTGCCACACTCAGATCGGCTCGGTATTTCGAACACTGCTCTCCAGACGGGTCCAGGTTCTCAGGGTCTTGATCAGGAGCGAAAAAGGAGAGATAGCGTGATGCTGTTCTTCTCTTGCATCCCCTCACCGCCGCGCCGGCGTCTCTCAAAACGGACCGGGATGACCCGGAAATCGTCGGCTCTATCTCGCTGTTCCGTTCGGCCGAAATTATGGCGGTTGCGTCAGCACAAACTGCCGTGTGGCCACGGTATATTTTCCGCCGGCAGCCCTGAATAATATAAGACCGCGCTGAATTGTGATAACCGGCCGTCGTGACGTCACTGGGCGGTGTTGTGACGTCACGGGTCGGTCGTTGCATCACTGTCGCCGAGCCGCGTGTCAGCTGAGAGCAAGATGCCATCGGGTCTGGACGTGCAAATGTGGGTTTTATGCGTTCATGCAAATGGGTTTCTATGGGCCATTCAGTCACCCTATTCATCTGTATGGGCAAGGAGTTTCTCCGGAAAAGAATGTTTTTACGCTAAACCACTAAGAGCTGCACAAATAAATGCAGTTTATTATTCAAGCGACCATTATAGAGTTCAGTGCAAGCGACATACCTCAGCATGGTTCATTATTGTCTCGAGGTGAAGAACTTTCTGCTCAAATGATTTTCACCGTAGTTTTCACGCATCGTTTCGCCTGTGGTTCTCATGCGAACTTTCAGCATTCGCTTTTCAGCTGCGAATCCCCACCTTCTCGTGACTTGGATATCACCTGAACGCTATCGTGTCTCATGACTCATGTGATACTGCATCAGCAATGAGCGTCGACTGCCGATCGTCGGTTCGAACCGACTTAGTTCTGAACCCACTGTTCGCGGCCGCGGGTCAGGCTTCGCTCTGAACTCAGCCAAGGTGACGCGACTGACAGCATGGAGGCTACGACGACAGTTTGGGAGACGCCGATCGACGTGTCAATGGTGGACTTTTCTTTCTTTATATATTTGCGAATTTATTGTTTTTTTTTTTTTAAATGCGCCACAAGCTTTACCATGCAATTAGATGTTCAATTCTGCGCGCTCGGAATACCTCGTTTGTTTTTTCATTGTGCATTTATACCCAGAACTACTTATTCCCGTTTCATGGTTATGTTGCAGATCTGAAGGGAACGGTAGATAGATACCGGTAGAGTCATACTCATAACTCGAATGCCATCGTAAATTACATGCGAATTCACCTTTTGAATGCGACCACTTGCTGCGTTCCACGTGCCGGTCAAAACCAGTGTGATCTGGTTCAGTGCAGGCTAACGGAAAGAGGCCACTTCGGGGTGATCGCATGACCTGTTGCAATCTGGCAAACCGTCTGCTAAGTGTCTTATTTTTAGCATCACCTTTTGGTGAAGTGGTTCGCAAGCACAACAGATTTTCTTCAAGCTAGTTCCGTCCTTTTGATCTTTCGTGCCTGCTGGACTGAAATGTCAGGAGCAGCGGCAGTCGCGGGCCCCATGTCCTGGCGTTTTGTTAGCGCCGGCCAGGCGAGGCCAGCCAGACGTGTTCGCACTTCTGGGAAGGCGCCGGCGGCCGGTCGAGGCTCGCGCAGGGCAGGTGTGGCGACCGACGTTCGAGGAACCCCGTCCCGTGACTGGTGACGTCACAGGGGGCGGGGCCAATACCGGGCCCCGTCTGGACAGGCCCGCCGGCCAATGGGAGGCGGCCGTGGCTGAAATACGAGGCTGCGTTTTTTTTTGCACCTCAGACGTGCCTCCTCCAGGTAAAGCGTGAATCAGCAACTTTCAGGGTGCGGCGCTAGCACCGTTTGGATACCGGATCCGAAACATAACTGCGTTTTAGGAAGTTGAAATTTGTGGTGAAGAGGAATTAGGTACTGGCATTTGGTGGAGAGTGCAGCCAAACGATATTGTCTGAAACGTTTTTTTTTTTCTCTACATCTCATTAGCCGTCTCATTGTTACTGACATTATCGTTACGTAGAGGAGAAATTTGAGGTTATTAAATCCAATTGATTCCAATTACGCCTGAGCGTAGCAAGAAATGCAAGATTAAGGTGTGGAGCTGCTAGTAAAATTAAGCACTTCAGCACCTGACCTGGCCACTCGAACCAGCTGAGCTGTCGCTAACTGAGAAGGGAACTCCACCCCTGCGCATAATGCATGCATTAGCATTTATGTTGGGTTATAATTCGATAGGGTGTCGCCCGTTACCCTGTTGGTAGGCAGCAACAGGGGCTTGGCTCCGTTACCTAACCGCTTACGAAAAGATCGCCCGTGCCTTCTTTGAACCATCGGACACGGTCACCGAGCTGGGCTTGCGCGTCAGATGATAATTATTTCAGCATACCGCTGATCTCAGTGAATTTGTTCTGCAAGGAATGCATGCTGAATTCAGTAGGCTACTTCTAAAGATGATGGGTAGTGCAGCACGTGTCTTTACTTAGCTTTCGTGACTGTTCTAACGCAGCCGAACCCCGCATCGTCAAATAAAGCGGTTATCAGGTTATTTCCAGGCTGAGTATTCAGCTACTTTGGGCTCGACTTGCTTCAATAACGGATCATCGATTACCAGGTGACAATTACCCGCATGACCCGAGTACAAACCAGGATTTCAAACCACACAACTCTTTCACTATCAAGTAAACAGAACATCATAACCAAAGGTTTGTAATCCGTGGATTAATTCTTTGCTAATGGCGTGTAAACCACATTTGTCCGTGGCTTATCCCGACATTAATCACGCTTAGACATGCATTGGCGTTGGTTGTAATGCAGCATGTAATGCATTGATGGCCATTGAGTGCATAATTGATACATTCCATTGCTATCTGAACACCTGCACGGTGCACCTTACCATTAGTCCCTGCCTTTTCGGAACCGCCTTCATTATGACGTAGAGGTATGAATTGAGCAGTCGGTCTGGATCGGTCCTGTCTTACTCTGCTTTTGTATTTCTATGAACGGTAGTGGTGTTATGAGTGGGATTCGAGCCGGAGTTCATATACCCGTCTGCTGTATTCGATGTGACATAGTCTTCCGGCTTCAGCCGACACTAAGTGCGCTAACCTGCACCAATTGGATCATGTCAGACTGAGTGTCAGACTTCGATTATCTGCATCCACGTGGAGAGCAGAGCAGGATGATGTGATCACCGACCACTGACGCGTGCTGAAAATGAAATTTTTACCGCCGCCGTTTTTTGTGTCTGTTGTCAGGATCGTTGTGGTGTGATTACAACATCGGCTCCGTCACTGACGCTAACGCTGTCTTCCTTTGCCCGCAGGCGAAGCAGCTGAGGGCACCATGACGGCGTGCCTCGGAAGGACGTGGGATCGTGGCTACAACCACTTCACCGACAGTTCCATCAGCCTCAACAACAGCCTAGACGACGACGACGTAAGTGTTCACAACCTCGCATGACACGGCATGATTCTTCGGGATGAATCGCTGCCGAAAAGAACCACTTCCTTTTTTAAGGAATGATAATTGAGAAACGTCTTCCTCCTAAGCTACTCCGTTCGTTTATTCCCACATTTTCAAGATACTTTTCTTATGAGGAGCACCGCAGTCAGCACTGCAAATGCCTATCGAACTGTTTGGATGTCATGAAACCTGATCGGGTCTCGCTGCTCGAAGAGCTGCTCTGCTGTGTTTACACAAGAGGCGCCCTGCCAGCGACCCGCCCCGGTCCTCTCCCACCCGACTGTGCAGCCTTTCTCTCGGCCACTTGTGCTCTGTCACTGCTCGAAGGCGGTGGTGGACGTGTGCGTCTGTCGTGATTCGCCGTCAACGGCTCCATCCACGCCGCGACTTGCTAGCGAGTGCTTCTTTGTGCTTTTCACGCTTTTTGCCAGCGTGCGCTGGACTTTTCTGTGCCGATTCAACCTCTGGAAGCAGCGTTCGACGAACCTCGAGTTTCTCGTTTGCTCATGCGCATGAAGTGGCACCGTCTGCGAGATGACGTCACTCAGGATGGCGTCACTCATGATGACGTCACCGGTCGACTGGGCAGAAGGACCAGGCGCCCTGCGCCGCCACTGCGCACCTTGTCGGGATTTTCGCCAGCTGACGGTTTCCCGGTACGTTGTCGATGTTTGATTAGTTTTTTTTTTTTAGTACGGTGTTTCGACACTCTTCGCCCCAGACCCTCGGCAATTTTCTGTCGTTCCCTCAGGTTTTCATTCATTGTTTCTCGTCTTTCGTTATTTCTATTTCCTCGCATTCTCATGTCCTCCGCCCGTCATGATCCTTTTCCTACCATATTTCCTTCTCTACCTACTTCCACGTATGTACCTCTGTGCTAGCATCCATTCATCCACTTCTGGGTTCTATCATGATTGACGACTTTGCCTTCATGTGTCTGAGACCCCCAGACTCGCCTGTGTTCTGCCAACATTGTCATGTTGTGTCTGGCTCTGGCAAACACCCTCACCTGGAATGCGCCTCTCCGGTCACGGGATCTCACACGTCACCGGGCTAAAATCGGCGGAACGAAGCACGTGCTTCGCGACGCCGCGGAACCTGTGCCATGCGCGGAATGTTTATGTATTGGGTGTTTTCGAGTGATGCATTCTCTTGGAAGCGCAAGGTGCTGTGATTCACGCCTCCTAGACAGGTCTGAGGGACACGAGAGCGGCGCATCGGCGTAGGCAATCCCTCCTTTCACGAAACGTTATGTTTGTGTGTTATGCATAGCGGAGTTTCAGTTTTACCTTTGCAAAGCATTTGTACTTCGTAGATATCTGAATGTAGGTGTGTTGCACGTACGTGGCACACACCTGCCTAATAAATAATATTCAATAGGAAGACATGCAGTTCCACTTTTAAAATCCCGTGCGTCTCTTCAAGGAGAAACACTCATCTGTAACGTTATTTTTGTCCCATCGAAGGACGAGCAATATCATTTCTGAGGCCTTATGAGTCTCATCTAAAGACTTGCGATGTCCTTTCCACCCACCTTTGAAGCTCATCCCGTGGCCATCGTTCCCATCCTCGGCTATGATGGGCACCGCTCCAGTGCATTCGTTTCGATGAACTGCGGAGGTGCGCGGCTCGTGCCTTCCCACCGATCAATGCCGCCCCCCCCCCCCACCGCCATCGACCCCCCCCCGTCCGTCTGCGTCTGAGGTCTACCAACGCAGTTCTGCCTAATCAAGGCGCGTGCCCGCTAACCTCAGGTCGAACCGCTCTGTCAATTTGCGTCGCTCGTACCGGTGTGCCACTATCTGTACAGGACCGGACAGGTTCTCTGCGCAGTTTGCCGATACCATCCAAGACTGATACATCTACCCGAGATGGACGCGTGCCAAAATCCTACGTCAACGCGCGTCGAGTCGTCGACCGTTCAACCCCTTTCGCTCGAGCCCATGGAATTCCCCGGCCTTCGTTCCGCGCGGAGGCAACTGCGCAGTTGTCGCCGATGACGTCACGGGCCGCGCGGCACGCACACACGGCGGGGCGCTTTCTCTCCATGGTGGTGGGTTGAGCTGGCGGCTGTCGCAGCCCGGGGCCGCTGCGAGCTGGCGAGTTACAGCCTTCAGCCTCCATGGCTGCAGTTTCGGCACAGCCTTCTGCTAGCTGCAGTCGTGAGATCGCCACCGATCAGACGGTGCTCGAGATGAAATTTCAGTCCGTTTTTATTTCATTGTTAGCAGCGTCCGGATTTGTGAGCCCCTGCAGACGTTTAGTAAATCTAGTTTTTATTTGATTAAATGCCTGTTTTGCAATGATGGCCATAACGTTGCTTTGCAGAAGGTTAAGGAATAGCGGTTTCCTCATGGTGTGTTCTAAATTCTTCTTTCTTTGACGCGCACGTTGTTTTAGTGCCTAATTCACTGGACGCAAATTATTATCAAACACAATGATGAGATAAATGATTCATTTCTTTCATGTTGTAAGACATATACTGAAAATATTTGTTTGCTCCCCACCATCATTGGTGGGTCTCATGGTCTCATTTTTCAACGAGATGAGTGTTGGGGTGGGGGAGGAGGGGAGAAGAGGTAAGCTCCTTAATCATTCGTTTCATCTACTGACGGAGGCTTATGCCGAATTAATCCTTTTGTTCAGAGCACTTCTGCCTTGTCCTTTGAACCAGTTAAAGCTTACGCCTACGTTTCGTAATGACAGCATCATTTCATGAGGATACATGCCTTTGACCACGGGGCTCACTATAATGCTCTCAGACGAGGCTTTCCCCGCGGCAGAGGTGCTCATGTGTTGGTCCACATCCGCCCACACACGGACTCCGGGCTGACTGGCCGCCGTGCCGTTACAGCGCCGTGTCGTTACATAAAGCACGAGTCACGGTCGTTGACGGGATGGAATCTGAAGTCGTTACATAACGACCGCGCTATGGTCCGAGGCCTCAACGGCAGGTGTGTAACACACAGAGACTGGGAAAACGCCGTCCAGTAGTGACATACAAACAGAACTGGTTCTCGCAGAAAAGTGTGTAAAGACGAGACGTGTCCGTACCAGCAATGACGGTGCGATTCGCAATGTTAGCAGGGTTGATGTTCGTACTGGGTCAATTGTTGCTCACTTAATCACACCACTCCACTTCGTGCTTTGTGGTTTTGATCTAGATTCTGTCCTTTTTTAACACATCCTGTGATCTCAATCGCTTCTCGCAAAGCCGATCTTATCTGTCAAGAAATAAGTATTTTTCCGTCAACGACCTTTCGTACCTTCCCATACCTTGCAATGCAGTTATGAATCGAGAGCGGTAGCCGTTTATATAATGTCCGCGCTGCGGCTTCCCAAGAGATTATCTCTCCCTGGACTTGGCTCATTATGCGCGTTTGTACCCGTTGACCTTACCCCAAGTCGAAACCATGAAATGCACCCGGTCATCGTCCGGCGTATTCATGTCCATATGTCACATCTTTCACGCTCCGTCAAATTCTTACTAACGGTACGCTAGAGAGAACTTGTAGCTCAGGATAGGTCGCATTTTATGACGCCGAGTGCTCGGAAGACACGTAATGTTGGAATTGAGCGATATAGTAATGATGTAGTAGACGTTCATGTCAAGAGATCTCGCCGTACCCTTCAGTTCTCATCATTGATATGTGCGTGACGATGATTCCTGCATGGCGCATGAACCTGCTCGATTACGCTTACGTCTTGTGGAAGGCAATGAGTAGGGACTTGCATTCACTTTTCGTTTTTTTTTTACATGATACGGTCAACGTGCGATTGCCTAATTACCTTGCATTATTAATATAATGACGCGTTTTCGCTTAGCGTAAAACAACGCAATTTGGTTTATTCACCCTGCACGCTGCATTTACTTACTTTTTTATTTGGCGTAATATGAATTAAACGACCATTTTTACCTGTCGCATCTCTCACCTTTTCCACTGACCCACTTTTCTTCCTTTCTAGAACATCCCTGGTGCACCGCCCGCACTTCTCATAGCTCCTCGGCCGCCTGCCTGACGTGCGGCGGCGCACATCGCGTCCTCTCCCGTCCACCTACTCCCTCCCTCTCCCTCCCTCTCCCCTCCCTCCCGGCTCTCGAGTCGTAACTGCGTAGTAGCCGCGCCGCGCCGCGCCGCTCCTCCTGCGTACGACGCAGAAACGTGCGTGAGGGGGACGGTCCGGTCCGGGGAGGGGAGGGGAGGGGAGGGGCGGGCGGGCGGGCGGCCCAGGCAGGTGGCCTCAATTGCTGCGCCGCGCGGCTGCGTGAGCCGACGCATGGCCGCGCCAGCTGAATATGCGTGTGTCGGACCAGCTGTATGTGTAGGTAATGTGCGTGTCCACGAGGAGAGCCGAACAACTGCGCGCCTGTCAAACTGAATTATTGGTATGAGGAGCTCAGAGAGTTGTATGCGGAACCGTCGCATTGTCCTTGCTATTTTCCACACAAGGGGTCTCTCAGGATCGCTGGCTGGCCGGTGAAGATCGAAGCTGAAAATCAGACGCTCGGAGCCAAATAATGATAAGCCTTGTGACTCATGAAATACTCTGGATCGTATCAGATTTCCCGTTATTAGTCTGATTAGCCGGGCTGGGACAGGGGACTATTACGCGGCTCTGCCGTGGGCCCGGGGCGCTGGTCGTTACATCGACTGCGGCCGTGCCTTTGACGTAGTGGGCTCAGTTATTAGTTACTGCTGGGCTATCCGTTATTTACAGAGGCGGCAGGGCTTCCCGTACAGTATCCGGATTTTGAGATTGATCCTAACCGGTAATGACCAACATCCAATAGGTGTGTAAATTTAATCTTACATAGCGATATGTGAATATATGTTTTATATAGGGGTATGACGACCGCCGACCGGTGTATATCTGGGGATTGTGACCAAATTAATGACCGAACACTGTAATTAAGGCACAAGGGGAATAACACGACTTGGTGGGAAAGTAAATTTGGATTTATGAATAAGTCA